TTCTAATATTTTGCTTAGTTGGGCTACCTCTGACTCTGGCTTTGTAGTTGATCTTTGGCTTCTTGTTTCCCATCTTGTTGTTTGCCTTTGATGTTGCCTAATATGCAAAGCTTCATCATCTGCTTCTGATAAATATTGTGAAGCCTGGTATGGAACTTGATTTGCTTCCTGATGTCTTCGCCTCCCTAGTGGCTCCCTATTGCTACCAGTTACTGGTGGTATAGACCTCATTGTACTTCTTCTATTTTCTGACTGACAATTGTTTCTTCCAAGTCTTACTGCTGGTATTGCTTCTTTTTCAGTTGCCATGATATCTTTATCACTTTCTCTGTCTTCACTTGCTCTATCCTAGCTTCTACAATCTTGTTCCCTTGCTTCTTTAATCATTATATGGGCATCACCTGACCTGGCCAGATCGGCTGATGCCTTGTAATAATAATGATTCTTTGCACTCCATCCTAGCCCTTAATTTTCAATCTTTATTTGATACTGGAGTGCCTCTCTTAGATCTTTTTCATTTTCAAAGTACACTACTGTATAGTTTTCTGATATCAAAGTGATCTTGTTTTTTGATATATAAAAGACCTTAGTTTTCATATGGTTTAAGGCTTCTTCTATAGATTTTGTATATAATCTATCCACTCCATAAAGTCTCAAGGTGTATCTCTTTCTTTCTTTTAGAATTTGAGTGATTTCTTGATCATTTTGTTCCTTGTGAGCTATTACAGACCATACTTGATTGGATTTTATCTTAATCACCCATTTCTTGTCCAAGTTGATGTATTCTCGGTACACATAAAAGTGAACTTTGAATCATTTTTGGTAGAAAGATATTTTATATTCATAAATATTGATAATCTCTTCAAATTCTTCTATTGATTGTCTAATTATACATTTGCCAAGCTTGTGATCTGTATCTACTAATGTGATATATTTTGATCTATTTTTAGCTGATAAAAAACTTTCTAGCTTAAAGAACTTTTTGTTTTGAGCATATCTTTGGAAGGTTGAATATATGTTCATATCTTTGTCCATTCTTCTAAGTGTAAAGTTCTCAGCTTCTTTTTTGTTAACAGCTTCTAGATATCTTGCTGTGTTTTTTTCTTCATCAAAGCCAAATGTAATCCAATGGTTACCATTAATAAATTCCGTTCTGAAGAAATTTATTCACTTAGGTATTTTAAGAGCTCCTTTGAAATATATAATTTCTTCTTCTCTATTTTTTCCTGGCAACATGACTTGAAGTACCTCCACCTTGATTGATCCCTATTGTTTTATGAAGAATGGATTCACTGTTGTCCCTTGAACCCTGTTTCTTGTATTATAAGACATGCTGTCTGTAATACAGCTTCTCTGCACAGTTTTTTTTAATATTTCCGTTTCTATTTGTTCTACTACTTCTCTATTCTTTATTATGACTTCTTTAATGGAGTGCACTTCTTCAAGTTCTGTAGAAATTGATTGAACTTCTATTGGGAATGCTTTCTGTCATAAACACTTCAACTTGATTAGAGCTTGATTTTTGTGTTGCTGGTTTGCTTGTCAATATGTTATACACCTTTTTTTCTAATATAGGTGCTTCTAAATCTTTCTTTTTACCTTGTCCCTTTTCCCAGAAAGTGAGAATATATTACCGCAACATATGTTCTTTTGTCATCACCAATGGATCTATTCTCAATAGATTGGTAATAATTTATCTAGTATCGAGGAAATATATATTGCCTCAATAAAGATATGGGGTTGATTGTTTCTGTTGATCTTAGCTCATATTGTATTATTCTTGTTTTCCAAAGTACTTGCTGAGGATCTTAATAAGAAGCTATCTTTCCCAATACTTTTAATAGCTCCTTTTTTCTTCTTTCTAAGATCCTGATTATTATTTATTCTTTTATTGACATGTTGTCACGTGATATATATAAAAGATTTTTAATATATGTTGTTATTATATAAGTGCCTTTTTAAATACATGATCAGATAAATACTATTGTTTATTATTTTTTCTGTTTGATGTATATGGCAATAAGTTGCTATATTGGTATTAATAAGTCTATGACGCATGGCTTCTATGTATTTAGATGTCTGATATTTGTTTATTAATACATAACTGGTTGTGATCAACTGTTGATCTTGCTTTAGATAACACGTGCCGGTTGATTACACACATTCTAGTTTGTTGATCTGTCATGTCCTATTGTTTTGTTATAGGTTGATCAGCTTGTTTTGATACACATCAACTAGGTAAAAAGTTAATGTATTTGTATTCACGTGATGTGAATTAATTAATTTGGAGTTGTTGTGTTGTTGTGATCCTTTTAACTGTTTGACCAAAGAGACTTGAATATCCTCCTAAGTTTTGGTTTGCTTTGAGGTTGTATTAATTTATCAGTTTAATTTATTGCTTCTGAGATTTCTCTTAGTGCCTAGAAAGGTGTTAACCTGCACTGGCCTGGCTAAGAGCTTTGTGAAGTTGAGGTTGGGTCTCAAGAAGTCTACTGTGAATCAACTTATTCTTGCTTTTTCTTCTTTCTAAAAGCAAAAGTGACCTAGGAATATCTGTCTTTCAAGCTGAGTGAAACTCTTTTCTTGTTTGTTGTAATGTAATTTTGTTGTCTAGGAATGGATGATTGTGTTCTTTAAGGCTTGTTTTTATGTAGAAGAGTTTTTGTGATGTTTTCAAGAAAATTATCAAAAAAGGAAATTTTTTGAAAAAATGTGGATCAGTAAAAAGAGTTTTTTTATAAGTAATCCAATTAATAGGGCAAAATAGTAATCTATATAGTTATTTAACTAGCAAGTTGTCCAAGTAAACAGATTTTATAGATTTGATTATCTCAGTTACTTTTATTATTAAATAATCAATATTTGCCTATATGTATAAAGATCAATTGTTTAAAGCAGTTGATTCAAAATTTTATCTATTGAATTTTTATTTTCTTTAATATTATATATCTCTATAAATTTTTTACTTAATTAAATTACATAAAACCTCTTTTCACTAGTTAAAAAATATTTATTCAGTATAATGCTACTCATGTAATATTCATTAAAAAATAAATAATTCAACATATTAATGACATAAATAAATTGTTAATTAATTTTTATCATATAATTCAGTATATAATTTGACATAAATAAATTGTTAATCATTTTCTACTATATAATTTGGTATAAATAAATTGTTAATCAATTTTTACTATATAATTTAGTATTATTTATTATATTTATATTATTTTTAATACATATTTTGTTAAAATTTTTCTCGAAAAATCATTAGATATTTGTTAAAATTCACACATTTGTCAAATTTTAATTATATATTATATTTATAATTTAAAGGAATTACAACTAAATATTCATAATAATCTTGCCGATTTGAGATTTTATATATAAATAGAATAAATCGATTAAAAATATTATGAATAGAAATTATGCATTTACATCTAATTGGATAAAATTCAGTACTTCACAATTCAACATTCATATTATTTTCAAATCTGAAATAAAATTTTTTTTCTACTGAAATAACTGATTTGTACCACTAAATAAAGACCAATTGATGTTCAATAACATTATTCAAAAAGTTTACTGAATGTGTAAAGAAGAATTGAACTTGTTCCAAATATAAATTGACACTTCTATTGTGATTCACAAATTTAGCTAATATAAATAAGTTCTTAATATTTTATGAAGATATAACAGAATCAAATATTTTATTTTCAATTTAGTATCTACTATATTGATTTGCACTATTCCAAATAATTATCGAATTTTCATTATCTTTCATAAATAGCCTCTGAAAGTTCATAGTTTTATAAGAAGCTTTATAATATTTAACAATAGATTTAATATTTTAACTGATATCTCTAAATTTAATTTTTTTAGATGCAAGAGTTCATCTAGAAAATATTTGGATCCATTAATTATTGTTTTATGAATATTATATGTATTATTTAAAAATCGATATAACTCGTCAGCTAAAAACTGATCTAGTTCAGAAATTGAACTGATATTTTACCAATTATTTAAAATTTCAAGCCTCTGGTTATTAGGATAGAATATAGTTGGATTAATAATTCAGCAATCATTTATCAATCTTCGTATTAATTTAGATTCAATATTTCAGTGACTATTAGGCAATGAACCTAGATTAAAAATTCATTGAAATTCTACTTCTGAATGTTAAATTTGTTTAAAAAATCTACCTAATATATTATTCATCCTCTTAAATGAAAAGCATCAAAATGCATACAATGGTCCATAATCATATGCACATTTATATACTGTAAATATAACAAAAGATAAAGATTTAGAGTAATTTATTCTTTTACATATTTTTATTCTATTGGTTTAATCATTATAACTAATCTTTCATAAGCCTTATTTAATGAATTTCATCTTAAAATTTGACATACTAAGATTTGACAAATCTTGACAAAATTCATTAGAATTTGGTGATCTATATTTGAAAGATATTTTCATAAAATGATAGTTACATATATTGTGAAAAAATTTCTTCACTGATCTGCAGTAAAGTTTGAAAATCATTTGTCACTATTTACTTTTTTCAGAATTCAGCCAATATCTAATGGCACATTAAAAATTTCTATCATTGATTGTATTTCATACAATACATTATTCGTCAATATTCCTTCTTCGATCCATATTTATTTAATAAGCTATTTACCAATACCTAAGAAAAGACAATGCATAGGATTGATAATTAAATATCAAATTGGATCAAAATAAGATAGGCAAAGGAATTCAGACCATCTGATATAATTTTCATTGACAAAATATTTTGTACTATATTTGAGCCACAGCACCTTCATTTGATAGAATCTTGTTTATATATTGTCAAATCTTTTGATATAAACCATTCATTTATATTCTCTATATCATCAAAATTATAATAATTATTTTTATAATTAACATTCTTCTTGCAATGATAATATGACACTAGTCCTAAAATGTGACCACACACTTTTCATGCAATAGGAATATCACACAAAATAAAAATTAAGGCCACCCGAATTATTTTTTCCTCTTCATTTTCAGTAGTTGAATTGAGCTTTATTTCTTGCTATAGTTGCATCAATTTGTTAATAATTGAAGAAAGGTAATAGTTATTTGATACAAACTTGGTTTACTAGGACCTAGTAATATGTCAAGAATTAATATATTTTTATAGTTAAATCATATTTCATATGACAAATTTGAGATAGCTACATATA